TTTCTGGTTGACTGGACACGTGCCTCTTGTTCTCTTCTGCTGACTCAAGTTATCTTTGTCTTTTCTTGTTTGCACAACCACTAACATCACAGTTTATTAACATGCACATGTGGTAGTAGCTAATCAGACAGCTTGAACTCTAATTGGGCTGCCAACGCATGAATAGCACAAGGTCAAACACAAATTAGCAAAGTCCCCTACTCTTAATTACAAATTGGTTTCTTTAGAAGTAATGGACTGAGGGATCTTGTGGCAGTAGTTGTGTCAAATCCAACCTGCTCCAGAGGTCTATGATAATATCACTGAATGGGTTATTTTAAAAATGTCACAAGTCATGAAGATCTTAATGATCACAGTTCCTATCTCCTAATTTGTTCCTTGAAATGCCGAATAGATTATAAAATCATCCTTATTCCTGTTAACCAGAGCCCCTATACCTCTGGATCACGAAGTCCAGGTTCAAGTCCCAATTGCTCAAGAGGTATGTCATAACACATTTGAACCGGTCAATTAAAAATAATTTATTCCTCTTGGCTTACTACTTTCATAGATCTTGATCATATGGCACCAAACAAATAGTGCCTGGTTAGATTATGTAGTTAATGGTATATGAATGATTGTGTACGTGTAGGAGTGTGAATGGTGTGCGCGCGTGTGTGTAGGGCAGAGGGAGACATACTATCATCTGAATGTCCTCAAACATCCAAGTTTTCCCTAAAATTGATCAACTTTATTTAACAAGAACCATGTGTAAATCTGCAATTATGCCTGAAACAATGTAAAGCTCAAAATAACTATACAAACTAAAACACAAGTCTGTAACATATTTTAAGTTTCTCTTTTAAACCAACTCATTTACAAAACTAAACCATTGCTGTCTTTGAGCAAAAACTTTTTACCTAAAAGCACTTTCATATTTGTTAACTTGATCATACACAAGTTTGAGATATAAAACCTTATGAACCCATGACCTTACTTTTGATATAGGACTTTTATTTACAGGTTTTAGCCACAAATAAACAGAAGAAAATGCAATTTCTCACTTGCTTAATCAAGTCATTTTTTTTAAAAAAGACATTTTGTTGAAGCCTTTCATCTTGCATTGTTCAAAACAATTTGCAAGAACAGTGAAGTAAAGCGAAAACAACATTCATACAATCAGAAGACTCTGCTGGTTGGCTGGCAAGCGGACCCTCATTGGTACAGTCTTTGCCATGGAGAATGAACCAGTTATTGATCATTAATGTTTACCTGTCAAATTTTATTTACTTTTAAATAAAGCAGATTGAATCTGCTTAGTCAAGGGACTGCCCTAAAAAAGGCAGAAAATGGCAGTAACTCATTGATGTGCAAGTCAAAAGTTAGCCACTGAAATAGTAACTTAATCCTATGCCACGGAAGGCCAGCAAGCACAGCAGTCTTGTGTGAAATGAGATTTGGGAGCATGTAATGATGCAGGCAGAGTTTTTAATAAGTTCAAGTTTATGTTGAATAAGAGAATGCAAGGCTGGTCAGGAGAATACCTGAATGGTCAAGTAACAAAGGCATGGGTCATCTACTGAAATGCTTACCTAAGGTAAGGAGGGAGTCAAATAATACTCTTTGAATTCCCTTTTATTTAAAATACTGGATACAATAAAAAAAAAGAATTGTTTCTGGTTGGAAGCTGGAAATTGAGACAAAATCTGCAGACGAATATTCAAAATTAAATAAACTTTAGAATACAATGATCCAGACTTCAGAAATCAGATCAAAGCAGGATGGGCATGGTGTCAGTGGTTTTGCCAATCTTTCTGCCATCTCCTCTCACACCAAAATTCACACCCACTAAACTACTACAGAAAGTTGCCTTCATGTGGCTTTCAACAAATGAGGGGAAAAAAGTACAATGTATACACAAAGGTCAATTAATTTCACTGAACTTCTCAGTAGTGATTTATATATTTTACATATTGGACCATCACATTTTCCCTGTATGTTCATGAACTTGTTTGCTTATGACACTTGTTACTATCATGCATCTCTTTCTGAGCAAGTGTCACTTGGTGGATGGCTTCAAACCTATTTGCAAAGCTCCCTAAGGTAAAGAACTACAGTATTACACATACATGAGATGGAGTATGACAGTTCCCATTGGCTGGACTCTTTTTAAACTTCAATTTCAAAAAGGTGGAACTTTCCTTCATGTGCAATAACTCTGACTGCCAATCACCTGGTCCCATGGGTATTCCACACATGCTATTATTGAAGTGTATATTTCCACACCCCCGAACGCTTGAAGGCCAAATCACTATGCAACAGCTTGCGTCCATGAGGTTTCAGAATGGTTCTGGGGAGAATAAAAGAAAGCAATCTCCTGCTAAGTGGAAGATGAGGACAACTGCATCGTGCGGTTTGGCCCCCAAAACTTGCACTACTGCAGAGAATAGATGCAAGAAAGATCCTGATTTATTGTCTGCACAGTTGAGACTACAATCACAACCGTACGGATATTAGGTAACTTAAATATAGCACTTTCAAATGCCATGGCTATGTGTTCTGCAGCATGTACCTCATTTAAGGTGTTCAACAGTATCCGTTGAGTCAACTAAAAAAAAAATGAGTAAGAAGGTTAAATAGCCAGTAATAACAGAACATTGCAAGTGTTTCTTTAGATATATAAAGGGTAAAAGAAAGGCAAAATTGGACATTGAGACACTGAAAAATGATGCTGGAGTAGTAATGGGGAACAAAGAAATGGCAGAGGAACTAAACAAGTATTTTGCTTCAGTCTTCGCAGTAGAGGATACAGGTGACATTGCAAAAAGAGAGTCAGGGGGCAGAGGCGAGTATGGTGGCCATCACTAAGGATAAGGTGCGAGAAAACCTGAAAGATCTGAAGGTGGATAAATCACCTGGACCAGTTGGACTACATTCCAGAGGTTTGAAGGAGATAGCTGAAGAAATAGCGGAGGCGTTAGTGGTGATCTGTCAGGAATCACTGGGGTCAGGCAGGGTCCCAGAGGACTGGGGAAAAAAAAAAAAACACTAATGTAACACTCTTATTTAAGGAGGGAGTGAGGCAAAAGACAGGAAGTTACAGGCCAGACCTCAGTTGTTGGTAAGATTTTGGGAGGCAATTGTGAAGGGTGAAATTTCTGAATACTTGGTAAAATAGGGCAACGTCAACATGGATTCATCAAAAGGGAGGTCATGCCTGACAAATCTGTTAGAATTCTTTGAGGGGGTGATGAGCAGGTTAGACAATGGAGACCCAATGGATGTTATCTATTTAGACTTCCAGATGGGCTGTGACAAGGTGGCACACAGGAAGCTCCTGAGTAAGATAACAGCTCATGGTGTTAGAAGCAAGGTACTAGCATGGATAGAAGATTGGCTGTCTGACAGAAAGCAGAGAGTGGGGATGAAAGGGTCCTTCTCAGGGTGGCAGCCAGTGACTAGTGAGTTCCACATGAGTCAGTGTTGGGACCACAACTTTTCACTTTATACATTTAATGATCTAGATGAAGAAACTGAGGGCATTTTAGCTAAATTTACAGATGACACAAAAGATAGGTGGAGGGATAAGTAGCATTGAGGAAGTGAGAAGGCTGCAGAAGGATTTACAGGTAGGCAAAGAATTGGCAGATGAAATACAACATGGGAAAGTGAGAGGTCATGCACTTTGGTAGGAAGAATAGAGGCATAGACTATTTTCTAAATGGGGAGAAAATTCAGAAATCTGAAGTGCAAAAGGACTTGGGAGTCCTAGTGCAGGACTCTCTTAAGGTAAACTTGCAGGTTGAGTTGTAGTTAGGAAGACAAATGCAATGTTGGCATTCATTTTGAAAGGACTAGAATATAAAAGCAGGGATGTACTTCTGAGGCTTTATATGGCTCTGGTCAGACCACATTTAGAATATTGAGAGCAGTTAGGGCCCCGTATCTCGGGGAGGATGTACTGGCCCTGCAGCAGGTCCAGAGGAGGTTCACGAGAATGATCCCAGGAATGAAAGGCTTAGCACATGAAGAACACTGGAGTTCTCTGGGTGTATGGAGTTTAAAAGGATGAGGGAGGATCTAATTGAAACTTAACAGAATACTGAAAGGCCTGGATAGAGTTAACATTTAGGGGTGGCACGGTGGCTCAGTGGTTAGCACTGCTGCCTCTCAGTGCCAGGGACCCGGGTTTGATCCCACCCTCAGGCGACTGTGTGGAGTTTGCACATCCTCCCCATATCTACCAGAGTTTCCTCCGGGTGCCCCGGTTTCCTCCTATAGTCCAAAGATGTGCAGATTAGGTGGATTGGACATGCTAAATTGCCCGTAGTGTTCAGGGATGTGTAGCTTAGGTGGGTTATAGGGGGATGCTCGGAGGGTCGGTGTACACTTGTTGGGCTGAAGGGCCTGTTTCCACACTGTAGGGATTCTATGATTGGGAAGATGTTTCCATTAGCAGGAGAGACCAGGACCCGAACACATCATCATAGTAAATGGAACACCCTTCAGAATGGAGAAGAGGAGAAACTTCTCCAGCCAGACAGTGGTGAGTCTATGGAATGCACTGCCGCAGAAGGCTATGGAGGCCTGGTCATTGAGTATATTTAAAACAGAGACAGATAGGTTCCCGATTGTTATGGAGATCAAAGGTTATGGGGAAAAAGGCAGGAGAATGGGGTTGTGAAACTTATCAGCCCTCACTGAATTGTGGAGCAGACTAAATGGGCCGAATGGCCTAATTTCCACTCCTATGCCTTCTAATGACTAAGACAATCTCACCAAGGTCTGTATTCCCATACAATCAAGGAAGGACATTCAGTAAAGTGAGTCTTTATTTTATAACCAAAAACAAAAAATGCTGGTGATCTGTGGGTCAGGCAGCATCTATGGAAAGAAAGCAAGCTAACACGGAGTCTGGGTGACTCTTTATCAGAGGTAAAGTGAAGTGTAGAGGTGGGTAGCATTTATGTAAATAGTGGGAGGGGGTGTTTGGAGTGCTGGGAAGAAAGGATGTTGATAGTTCAAAATAAGTGATCAGAGTGTGACAATAGCAGAAGAATAGTGTCTCTAACTACCAGACTGGAAAGAACAGGCAGTCCCACTGGGATGGGGTGGTAAGAGGAGAGAGGGTGACGGAATGTAACAAGGAAAGCTAAAAGAGAGAGAAGGAAGGGGTTCACAATTTGAAGGTGTTGAACTCAACATCAAGCTCAGAAAATTGTAAACTGCCTAGTTTGAAGAGGAGATGTTGCTCCTCCAGTTCACACTGTGATTTGCTGGGGACGTCAAGTTGAGGTTCTACAGGACGTTGGTGAGGCCACTTTTGGAATGTTAAGTACAGTTCTGGTCTCACTGCTATTGGAAGGATACTATTAAATTGGAAAAGCTTCAGAAAAGATTTACCTGGATGTTGCTGGGAATTGAGGGTTTGAATTCTAAAAATAGGCTGGGACCTTTTTTCACTGGCGCATAGGTGGTTGAGGAGTGACCTTAGAGGTTTATAAAATTATGAGGGGCCTAAATAAGGTGAATAGCAAAGGTCTGTTCCTTAGGGTGGGGGACTTAAACTAGGGGGCATAGTTTTAAGGTGAGAGGAGAAAGATTTAAAAGGGACCTGAGGGGCAACTTTTTCACTCAGCGTGGTTTGTATGTAGAATGAATCGCCAGAGGAAGTGGTAGGCACATGGACAATTACAACATCTAAAAGACACTTGGACAGGCACAGGAATAGGAAAGGTTTGCAGGGATATGCACCAAATGCAGACAAGTAGGACTAATTTAGTTTGGGAAACTTGGTCGGCATGGATGAGTTGGATCGAAGGGACTGTTTGTGCTGTATGACTCCATTCCTTTAGCGGTTATTCTTTCCTGCTCTAAATTAGTGCTTGCTTGCTAACTTTCATTCAAAAGTCACCATGAACTTTTCCCCTTTAGGTGTATCTGCAATGGTGCTGGCTTCAATTGGGAGTGATGCTGTCTTGTGTGCAGCTAACAGTACCTTTTGGTTGCATTTCATTGACCAGTGGGTTCAGACTCATCTGTGGAAAGACCAGGTCGTTCATTAACAGTATATTAGTTACTTATTTGGGTTTATTTGCAGTATTACAAAATGCACACAAACAAGAACATACCTATCAATGAATAGACGCTGCATACCAGTAGTTCAAATGCTTTAATCTAATTGTCTAACTACCATCTCCCAAACAAGTTAAAATTGCTTCCTTATGTATTGGGAGTTCTAAGAATCTTACACATTCCATTCTTAATAATCATAAAATGATCGCAGCAAATTAAGTCATTCAGCTCATAGTGTATGTCCTAATTCTACGCAAAAGCAACTGGTCGGTCCCTTTCCTCAAACTCCACAAATTCTCTTCCTTCATATGTTCATCAATTCACTGTCAGAGCCCTCAATTAGATTTTACCCCCATCATACTCCAAATCCAAATATGTTACTATTGATTCTTAGCATTCATCTTATATCAATTCCTCTGGTTTCAAACATTTCCAGCAACGAAGTCAGTTTCCATCTCCTCCATCTCGACCACTACAATTTTGAATACTATTATCAAAATGTCCTATCAACCATCTATTCTTTAAACTGAACAAACCCAGCTTCACCATTCTATTCAACTGAAGTCCTAATCCCTGGAATTACTCTTGTAATTTTTCCTGCACATGGTATAACCTTCAAGTCCTTCGAGTTGTGGTGCTTGGAATTGGACACAATCCCTCAGCTGAGGTTGAGCCAGCACTAAGTTTTATGGGGTTGGGGGTCAATAAATGTGGAGCTGGAAAAGCACAGCAGATCAGACAGCATCCTAGGGGCAGGAAAGTCAACGTTTTGGGCCGAAACCCTTCATCAGGTCTGGGGAAGTTTTATCATTACTTCCTTGTCTACAACATGCCTGTTTATAAAACTAAGAATCCCATGACTTTTTGAACATTCTTCACCTTTAGAATTAAAAACTTTTCAGTTTATATTGCCCCTTTGTTCTTACAAAAAAGTCCCATGTCAGTTTCATCTGACAGCTGCTCAAATTGATGAGACTACATCACTAATACTGTATGCAGTATTTTAAGAAAGGATGTATTTTTAAAAAGGATGCATTGGACAGAGTTCAGAGGTGGTCTACTAGATTTATACTTGGAACGAGCATGCTGTCTTATAAGGAACGGTTGGTCATACTGGGCTTATTTTCACTAGATTTAGAAGAGTGAGGGGTGACATGATTGAAATATGCAAGACCCTGAACAGTCTTAAAGAGATTGTGAAAAGGATGTTTCCTTTTGTGGGCAAATCCACAAATAGCAGTCACTGTTTCACAAGTAGGGTTCACCCTTCTAATTTAGGATATTTTTTCTGACAGCCGCATGACTTCGGAACACATTGCCTCAGAAGGCTTTAAAAGGAGAAGGCAGATTAATTACTTTGCCCAACAAGAATGTACAGCCATCAAGGTTAGATGAGAATGTGGAAAGTGAATTACCAAGATCAGCCATGATCTTACTGAATGATAGAATAAGCCCAAAAAAGCCAAATAACCTATTTCTGCTCCTAATTTATATGTTTCTATTTCATTATCCTATGTCCTCTTGAGGTCTACCACCATCCTCTTCAGTTCACAGTACCATGTTTATGTTTCCAGCAAATTTTGAAGCTACGCCCTGCATATCCCAAGTCTAGGTTATTAAGATGCATCATAAAAATCAACAACCCTAGTAATGTTTGAGTCAATGCAGTCTTTTAATATGTACATCTTACATCAAATGATTTCCTACATATTTCATGCTATTACTTTACATCAATAATTGCACCTTATTTGCATCATACAATCTGTTCCCAAGTCCCTGACAGATTCTGCACATGTCCCAAAAACCTAATTGCAATGTCCTGATATTTGCACCTGGCACTTACAAAGCCCTAGCTGGCAAATTTGGCTTATCTCATTTGTCATCAAGTCATCATCTACAGGTATTGATGGTTCCGTAGATAGTTTGACAGCTGTATGTTTTTATAACAAGTGACTAAAATTCAAAAAGTGGAGAAGCTCAGTAGATCTGACTGTATCTGTGGACCATATCTACAACTGTATCATGAATTGCAAATGATTAGCATGCAAGTACAGTAAATATTAGGATAGTAAATAGAACGCTACCGTGAAGTGAGATGTTATGCTTCAGTTATACTTGGCTCTGGTGAGACCACATCTGGAATACAATGCAATGTCTTGGTTATCTAATTTAACAAAGAACGTATGAAGCAATTCAGAGAAGAGTTACTAGATTAATGCCTGGAATGGACAAGTTGTCTTATGAAGAATGGTTGGACAGTCTAGGCTTGAACCTAGAATTTAGAAGAGCAAGACGCAACTTGATTGAAAGCTATAAAATCCTGATGGCTCTTCATAGGATAGAGTTAGACAGGAAGTTTCTTATAGGGGAATTTAGAAAAGTGTCTGTTTTAAAATTGAGAGTCACCCATTTAATAAAAAAAAAGGTCTGGCAAAATTTCCTCTGAGGACCGTAGGCTTTGGACTCACTTCCTGAACAGGACATGGATGCACAGTCCTTGAATACTTAAGGCAGAGGTAGATAGATTCCTTTTAAGCGCGAGTTGAAAAGTTATCCAAAATAGGTAGGGATGTAGACTTGGTTACAATCAGATCAGCATAATCTTATTGAATGGCAGAAAAGATTCAATAGTCTGAATAGTCTACTCACACTCACGATTCATGTGCTCATGTTCCATTCTCTAATATCTTCACTACTTTGCTTTTAGTTGCCTGAGAAGTGTTAAAGGATGTTTGTGCAGCTGCTCAGCAAATAACTTATTACTGCAAATGAAACTGTACTCTTTGGACACATTTTAAATCTTTTCCTGCTTGGATCATAATTGATTAAAAGCTGCAGGCAATAAAAAGAATTGTTAACAAATGTCTTTCTCAACAAAATTTACAACTACAAAATTAAAAACGTGTAATTTCTGAATTAAGAACAAATTAATTAAGTTGGCTAGACAGAAGTGCATCTGATGTGTGCCAACAGCACAGGGTTTGATCATCTACATTCCAGCTGAGATAGATTCATTGCCTGTCTTCTTGCTCAACCAGTAAAATCAACGTAGCTTTTTTCTATAGTTTGGTGAATAATCAACCAAAGGCCAGCCTTCAGGCTTAGAACTCAAGAAGAATTCCTGAATATGCAAAAACCACTCCATCAATAGCAATAAAAAAAGGCAACATGTATATTTATTCACATTTCATGCTCCACAACTGTAAGCTCACAGTGTTGCTTTTAGACAGTACTTCTATTTTGGACAGGAAAATACTAAAACGTAGAGTACCATGTCTGGAAAATAATGTCATGCTAAAGCTATGGCAAGACTGCAGAAACCTAAAGAAACACCATGACCATCTGCTCTGCCAAAATATGGCTATGATATGCAAGCATCAAATTACATACAAACTGACAAAGCGTGTAGCTGCTTATCTTTAAAATTTGTTTGCTGTTACTAATTAGAGTTATGTTAAAAGTGGACATTGAAATAACATCGAGACCTTGAAAATACAATTGGATTTTATTTCTCCCCGATTCTCAAATGGACTTTTGAGCTGATGTAATAAGTTGAATCACAGCCATCCTCTGTGCATTATCTTGCCCCCACACACTATCTTCCAGTTGAACAGTCCATATGAAAATCAGGAGTGCCACAACGTCAACATTTTCAGAAATGTAAATTCTAAGAAAAAGATGATCTATTATCGCCAGTCCTGGGTTTCACAAGTTAAACTACTCGAAATGTAACCCACTCAAAATCAACTTTTAAGCATTCTAAGATTCTACAATTCAATGACAGCAGAATTCCATGCTTGCATTCCAAATGCACTGAGACTAACTCAATAACTATATGTGCTCTTAATCACAACAGCAACTCTACCTGACACATGCACAGCTTTCTTCTCTAAAAGAACTTCAACCAGCACCTCAAGTGGTTGCATTTTTATATTTTAAATGATATAAAAAAGGCACCATAAATGTACAGTGCTAAGCCAGAATACCCACATTCAGGAAACAGGAGTGAAGACCCAGTCATTCCTGAGGACGTTACTTTGCAAAATCCTTCCAAATGTAATGGATTAAGTTTTTCACGGTGCAAAATTCACTGCTATACGAAATAAAGCCTCTCTCATTTTCCCAAAATTTTGGTCATTTAAACACATCATCCCAAAGAATTTAAACTTACAAATGCCCTAAAACAGTGTTCTAAAACGATTATCTTACTTAGACCTAGAACAAATTAACTCCACAAGGATTTGCAACAAAGACCGAAACTACTTTACAGACAAGATATTGGTTGCCAATCAACTGTCAGCAATTTTTTGACTAGCGTAACAGAATACTCACCACATCTGTGTGAGAGAACTTGGCCAAGTGATCTGTCAGGTTATAACTCGAAAGTGAACTGTCACCAACATCCAGCTGAAGTCCACATATTGCTGCTCCAACACTTCCAGTCGCAATCATTGATGGCGGATACATGGCAAACTTGAAGTCTGCAGGAACAGGCACAAAGAAAGTTGAAAAACTGTACATGCTCTCAATGATTTTTAAACTAAAATTTCCAGAATAAGTTTCACTCCCACCACATATTAAACTACATCTGAACAGAATGATCCAAAGACAACTCTATAATAGCATATGGTCCACTTTTCAATAAAATGACATCTCAGAAATATCACGAATGACTGAATAAAAAGCCACAGTGGCCCTGCCAACCAACACTGCTGTAGGTCTGCACCTACATGTGGGCACATGAACATATTTCACCGCCGAAGAACGTTGTAAGCTCCTTTAATGTCATTCACAATGCAAATGAGACAGCTAGAAAATGGCTGGAGGCCCAGAGTGACTAATGCCTAGGTTCCAAAAGACTTGCATAGCATCAATCTCCCCTCTTCCTTTCCTCTAAGAAGCACCATAAACTTGGCTATCAAAGCTCTGCATGTCCCCTCTTTGTTGTTCAACAGGCAGTGATTTGTATCAGTAGCTCCTATTTTTAGCATATTAATTAACTACTGCAACTGTTTGAGGCAAGTGTCTCCAACTGGAGAGTGTGGCACCATTGTTTGAAACCATCCCCTCATCTTCGCCATTAAAAATCATGGAAATGACCCTCCTCCTGATATGAATTCAAGCTGACATTTTCACAAAAGGACTGGGGGGTGGGGGCAGGGCACCAATTTCACACATGTGGTTTGCCAGCTCACCCAACCAAGCTAACAAGGGATTTTTTAAAAAATGTGAAAAGGACAACATCATTGTGGGTCACCTATAATGCTGTTAGGAAAAGGAATAATTATGGAATGATTGAAATAAAATAAAAACTATTGGGAATTTTCTAAAATATTAATCTTCTTGTGAATACAAATTTTCCTACCACTAGTGTACATAGATTAAAAATGTAAAGGCTGCATTCCTATTATTTACTTTCCAATACACAATTAAATACAAAAACCATTATATTGAGCATACATGTACTGCAATTCACATGCCACGTATAAACCTACATAACGTTGAAACTTGGGCTAATCAGAAATTCCCCTCATATCCAAAAGCATTTGCAGATAAATCAGAACACCTATAATCAAAGTAATCTCAATTTTAAAAAAAAAACAGTACATTGTAAATTCAGAACTTCAACTGAATTAAAACTTAAGCTCAAAATAACCTCAAAATAACCTCAACCAGGCCTTGTGACCTTAATTGTTCCAGCAGAATAATATGCTCTGCGATATTTCTTTAAAGCACATTATTTGAATTATGACCGCTGCACCAGGAAATCCCATTTAAAAAATGCACTTCAGCACGCTGAAGATGTAAAACAATTGCACATTTGGTGCTTTGCCACCGGACATTCTAATTCAGTACACTGTAATCTGCAACCTTGCCTGACAAACTAACTAACCAAATGACTGTTCTTCAACCACTTATTTATCTTCATTTATCACCAAGAGTTTAACCAATTAATTCAATTTTATTTGTGGAAAATTGCTATGCTCACTTCACTATCATTTTGCCTACACAACTATTTCGAATTGTAACTAATTCAACGATATCTTGGGATGCAGGAAAAGAGGCGGCATTAAGTAAATACAAGTAGTTTGTCCTTTTGGAAGACCGACCAATTTAAACAAAGTTCTGCCATGGCAGTAGAAATATACATTGTGCAAATGATACAGTACTTCTTTCAATATAAGACACTACACAATTTAATTGGAGCAAAGTTAACCGTGGAGATAAAGAAAATTTTAAAGCACAACCTCATGCACCATTTCCTGCTGTAATGTTTCAAAATGACATTTATCAAGTGTGGCAAAAAGATAATCTGCTATTGAAAATAATTTACCCAACAGAGACCAGAATATCGATGGCTGATCTGGCTAATCTGGCTAATCAAGTTGTATAACAAGATGGTTTTGAACTGCAGCATAAAACAATCAACCTCACCAGCATCAGCAACACGGTTGCCTTAAAGAGATGGTGTGGAGGTGCCAGTGTTGGACTGGGATAAACAAAGTCAAAAGTCACACTACACCAGGTTATAGTCCAACAGGTTTATTTAAAATCACAAGCTTTTGGAGCACACCTTTGTCAGCTGCTCCTTCATCACTTCACTGGACGAAGGAGCAGTACTTCAAAAGCTTGTGATTTCAAGTAAACTTATTGGACTATAACCTGGTGCCGTATGACTTCTGGCCTTAAAGAGAGATAGCTCCATCAGAGACTGTTTTAAAAACTAAGGATTGGGGAAGGGATTGCTGCCATTTTTAAAGAGCAAGCTACCAGCAATTACTTTAAATGCTGTTTACACTAGCATTTGCTCAACCAATCAGGGAAGTTCAGTAGCAGACAAACTGGCACTGGCGGCATGTACAAGGAGAAATTCAGCTGGCAACAAGTACCTGATTGGTGTGTAGATTGGTGACAAGCATCAACAATAAAGGTCCTCTGCCTGCCAACAAATGAGATTAGCTCCCAGATAGCTGAACAAGCTGGTGGGTGTGAACAGTATAATCAAATGCCTTTGGACCTCCAAAGGAGGTGGCGTCTGTTTTCTCATACCATTGGAAACAGGGACCATCGAATTGCCTTCCCAATTCTTTTTCTCTGCTCATAAGGTGCACATTTTACTTTTTGTTTCCATCTTCATGTGAAAACAAATTTTATTGAGGGGGAGTAGCGTTTTAACAAGTATATTTACATGTTAACAGTTTAAAGTTATTAGATTCTGATAGTGATTAGAATCTATTTATTATAAATAACAATTCTAGTTAAGTACAGAAAATGATCTGTTCTATTAACTTGGGTCTAAAAAGAGAGTGTGCAAGATTCCTCAATTTATCTATGAAAAAATCTTGAACTTTTGAGATAAATCCAGGAATAGCAGAGCTTGATTTCCAGTCCACTACCCCAGTGAGGCACGACAGCGCAGACCCAACAATGCTCAATGTGTCTTTGAGTCTGTGTCTAAGAAATAAATATTACTGATCAGAAATTTCCTCTTTACATTGCATAACTGCACAGCTGTATCACAAGTCTACCCAACAGATTTCTATTGATTAATGAAATTCACATAGCACTTTTTAGGTTCCTTTGCTGAATATAATTATGATTATGCTTATTTAGAAGCAATTCAAAACAAATTCCACATCTTTCCAATGCAATCCTTTCAAATGTTATCCTTACATTATACTTTAGAAGCTGGTGAAAACACAATTAAAATAATATGCTGTTCTGACAGCTTGCTTCCAACTCCAAGTAATGAAGCAGTTTGGGGGTGGGGTCCAAAAGACGACAGAGGATGTACCTCTTGTGAGAATCAGCAACAGATACTAATTTTTCTCCCCCAAAGTTTCCACTGAGGTAATAACAACAGATTTGCATGCTGCTCAGACTTATTTTCTGGACTGTTGTAAATATGAAGCAATCTATATAAAGTAGTTTTGATAGACACAATCATTAAAAAAGGGCCACAAGTTCAGCTTTTGATTTGTCCATGATTAATTGGAAATATACTCTAGAGACTGCAAATACCGTGATTATACTGGCAAAATATACTGCTTTTTCAATGTAGGAGCCTACATTGCCATTAAGTCTATTGACCCATTTACATCATATTTCATACACAGTTAAATGCTTGGGAGATAATTTTATTTTTCTGCAGAAGCTCCATTCAGTTGGTCTAAGTTCTACCCTTTGTCTACACATTTCTCTTTGTAGGATTTACTGGTATAACAACACATTTTTTCATTTCAAATTTCTCAACATCATTCAGACAAAAACTGACAGGTGGCTTTAAAATTAAATTATGAATGTTAAATCCCTGAACAGGGACCAAACTGGTGGGTCACTCCACACATCCTCCACTGTTATAGTTATTCCAGTAGTCTTTGCTTTTTGTTATTGCATTATACTGAACAAAAGCCATGGCATCCCATTCTAGAGTGTTCTTGGCTACCAGTAGAACTATGCTTTTATCAAATTGGCACTTTTTGAAGACTCGTTTCTTATTTTTTTAAAAGGACAATGCTAAATTCTAGCCTCATGTATAAAGATGATCCTTAGATGAGGACCATGTTTCTAATTTTGTGTTTAAAAACTGGGGACTGAAATGAAAAAGTTTTTTTTTGAAAAATACAATGGCTGCAGTTTTGAAAACTAAGTAGTTCGTCACCCAGTGCAGGTATCAAAGAACTGTTTGAACAGGCAGTAATTGCAGTTTAATTTGCAGATTTGGAGCCAAAGGAGTGTACCAATGCAGTTTTTGCTGGCACTAAGTTAACTGGACTATGGACTAGTGAACAGTTATCAAAGAGACATTTCTGCCTGCCAGCAAATGTGATTAGTTGTCAAGTAACTGACATCAGAACAAGTTGCAACAGTAGAAACAGAAAATTGATCAGCTCTTCCCTAGCGCAGAAGCCGTCTTCCTGTTCCTTGCAGTCAAACCTCACCGTAAACTTAAAGAAAAGCAGTTTCTCTTTCCTGGAACTATTATTGTACAGCATAACCTTTAACTGATAAGTCAGAGACTATTTATAGCCACCTTGTGTCTCTCACCAACCAGTGGAAGCAACCGGAGAAAGATGACTGAAGTTATGTGCTGGCCAGCAGAATAGTTATACAAATCATCTCAACAACAGTATATAGGAACTGTCTCTCCACTCTGTCTATAAGCTAGTTAACCCTATTGGTTTGTGTGCATGCATGAGAGTGAGAATGAGAGACAGAGACAGAGACAGACAGAGAGAGAATGAGAACGAGAACAAGTAAGAAAGAGACACCGAGGGGCAGTGAGTGAGTGACGTTTATAATGGAGATTAGAGTTTTATTTATGCAGCTATATTAACTGTTTAACTGTAACTAAAGTCTAATTATTTGTAATAAGTAGTAATTCTTGACTAGTACAGAAACCAGATCTGTACTTGCCATTATTTCGGGTCTGAAAGTCAGGTAAATTGGAAACTTTGTATGACAACTCTGGGAATAGCAGGGCTCAATGTCCAGTACACTACCCCAGCGAGTTGTAACAAATCATGAAAGAAACAAACATTTTCCAAGATTTACATATAGCAATACAGAATATATAGTGAACTCAGTGAAGCCCTAATATTTTAATTCTGTCCTTATTTGCAGGTTTTGTTAATGAATTCTGAACTACATTTCTAATGGAAATTGCCCATGTAAATCTATTGCACTACAGTAATAGACCCTCAACTGATGGAAGCACCTGCAGCCCTTTTTTTGGCAGGATAGTAGAACCAATGTTACATGTTTTCTGTTTCTATTATACATACAGAATTGGAATACACAGAAACAGGCAAGATTCCAAGCTGACAATATTTTTAACAAAATAGATGAATAAATAAAGGCAATAATGAAAACTGATAAGAAGTTCCATTGTGAAAACCTTTTCCAGCAAATATTGAAAGATCATAGAAAAGCAAAATAATAGATACAAAAAGCCATATGAAAAAGGATAACGGAAATACTCAAGCAGAATTGGCAACAACAGTAGAGAGAGTAGTAGTATTATGCTTCAGGTCTGTGCCCTTCCGTCAACTATCATAACACCACACAATAATGCACCCAATTAATGAACAATTTTGCTTTGGCAGTTGAATCTCAAATCTTGGAACTTTTCTCTGCACATTCAAAACACAAAGCCAAAGCAAAGTTTAGTCTGCTTCACTCTTGAACTTCCCTATTCTCCCACCAACATATTCTCAACCATAGGTCTTAAACAGAATCAGCTTCAGATATTAAACCACTCATACCTGTGGCACAAAGAGCAATGAAGGTTTGTGCATGCTTTCGGATCAAGTGTAGCTTGTCTTTAGAAAGAGGAAGCTTCTTCAGGATGTGTTCAATGAAGTCATGTGGAGTCACAGCTGCAAGATTCCACTTCAACTTTCCCAAAACCACTAACTCCCACTCCTAACAAAGAGGAAAAGGTTAAATGCATTACAGGAAAGGAACAGTGAAAAGAAGAAAATAAGCCATACAGGGAAACCTGTTCTTATTTTTAAAAAAATGATATTTCAAACAAGCCATCTGCCAAACCACGTTTTTTAATGGTAAAAGCACAGCTAGCACCTATTCAGGGTGAACATTTGAATATCTACCTCTAGAGGGAGCTACCAATGTGCATGGAAAAAGGAAATAAACCATACTGGAAAGCCTTTTCTTATTAAAAATAAAGGATATTTCAAACAAGCCAATGGCCACACCATTTTTAAAAAAATGGTAAAAGCACAACTGGCACCTATTTAGGGTGAACTTTTGAATATCTACCTCTAGAGGGAGCTAACGACTGATTTGCACTATTCACAGTTTGAAGAGCCATACTACCTTTACCACTGAAATTCAAACAAAACTCAGCTCTATTAACATTATTTATTGAGCAATGACACCAAATGTGGCTTAAATTATTGTTGCTAAACTAAATGAGCACATTTACATTTTGTTTTGCTTATTTTCATATTTTAATTCGTAGACTCACACAGCTCACCCATCAAAGATTGGGAGATTTTACCCACAATTATATCCACAGAAACAACTTTATAACAGCAGCAATTTAACCTCCACCCTGCTTTCCCTCCTACCCCCCCCCCAAAATCGCAAGGAACAGAATAAAAATGATACTCATCAGTTGTTCTCATTTTTTTTCTGCACTGCAAATAAAATATTTGATTCATCCCAATGTTAGATGTATTTTTAAGACCTGAATGATTTTTCCAGCCAAACACCAAATTTCCTAGAAAGCAGACACTGTAAAGAGTTTACAATCATGTTGGAAGTTTAACTTATGGAATAATAGAATCCCTACAGTGCAGAGTGAGGCCATTCGACCCATTGAGTCTACACTAATCCTTTGGAGAGCACTCCACCCTCAACCTCATTTTTACCACAGCTAACCCACCTAATCTACATTCTGGATACCACAGGGCAATTTACCCTAACCAATCCACCTAACCTGTACAACTCTGGACTGTTGGGACAAACCCACGCAGACATGGGGAGAATTTGCAAACTCCACAAAGACATCCAAGGCTGGAATCAAACTTGGGTCCCTGGCGCTGTGGGGCAGCAGTGTTAACCATGTGCCATTGTGCCCCCTCCAAAGTACAGATCAGCCCCAAATGCTAAGGGTTACGTATAGACAACTGAAGATAGATTAATGAAATTACCAGAAGTTCACATGGTCTGATAGAGTTGTCAGTGTATATGCAAAGCTTTTCTGCTGTCAGAGGAATATTCTCTTTGAACTTTGATGCAAGGAACAGACAAACAGCTCCAAGCAGCTGCAGGAGGTTTTTGGTAATTGGTACAATCGATAAGAATCTGTCCAGGTAATTCACTGCCAAAGGAAACACTTCCTCCTCACACCTCTGCTCTTCGCAGACCTAAGGGGAGAAATGGATAAAAATGAGGAATAACAAGGTCGTAGAAAGTACTGTTGGTAGTGAACGAGGCCTTGGCACCAGCCTTGATCCATCACATGCCTCCAGTTCATTAAGCAAGAAATGAATTGAAGTCACAATCAAAAAGGCTGAAATGAAGACAATCTGCTGCAGTATGTCACTTTCCAAAAAATATTCAAAATAAAAATCAGCCCACAAACCAACAAAACACCCAACAGATCCAGACTCTCACCTTCCAAGCTTAATCTCAGTCCCTCCAAACTACCACAGCTACCCTGTCAAAGTATGGTAACGGAGACCATTGTCCACTCCCAAATCCTTACTGACTGTCCCAGAGGCAAGCCAAACTCAACTCATCATGCACGTTTGTGATCAAACAGAAAATATGGAAGCCTTCCTCCTCTCCTACCATCCCCTGCCCTGGGAGTTGGGATAAGAGGGGTGAAGGTGATTGGGTGGGTGGGGGGGGGAAGAGAAGAAGCGAAGGAAAAGAGTTGGAGTGGGGGAAAGAGGCAGGTGAAGAGTGGGGGCGATCCGGGGAGGGGAAAAGGGGGGAGGGGGGGGGGGACGGGGAGTCGATCCGGGGACGGGGTGGGGTCTGGGTATTGGGAGCTGTGTCCTCCGAATACGAACCTCCAGCATCCAGGCGGCCACCATCCTCCGCATATAGGGCTGGATGTCCTGCTGCACGCACGTGAAATAGGGGCAGGGCGGCAAATAGCGCTCCTCCACCGCCAGCAGATTGTGCAGCACACGGTCATCTTGCAGCAGCTTGGGGTCGGGCAGCGCCCTCAACACGGTCTCCGGCTCACAACACAGCAGCTCCATGGCGGCCGCGGGGGAGGAACGACAGACAGACAGTGAGGGAGAGACAGAGGGGGAGGGGACGGGAAGCTCGTGTCCTGGTCTAACCTCTCTTAGGCGGTGCGGGGCCAAAGCAGGGGCTACGGCTCCGGACGGGACGCGCTGACGCACGGAGCGGGCAGCCGCTGGTGGTGTGGAGCGGCGGCTGGGCGGGCGCAGGCAGCGCGCACATCCGACACGGGCAGCGGGAAGCGGGGAGGCCGGCGGCAGGGGACAGCGGCCATGCACATCGGGACACTCATGAAAGGCCGCCGCCAGGGTGGCACCCGAGGCGGGCGCCCTTCATCTCCGGGCACGATAGGGAACCGCGGCCACCGATAAGAAACCACGCTCGAATCGGGGGGGTCTAGGAGCGAAACTGCGGGTTTAACGGAGATTAAACCCCGAGTCCGCCTCCCCACAGCTGGCGCTCCGCGTGCAGCCAGAGGGCCCCTCTGATCAGCGGGCCACGCCTCCTTATTTATAGTTGACGAACAACCCGCCCCCTTCTGTCCCAGGTGAGCCAATGGGAGCTCGCTCCCTCTTTGATAGACAGGAGGTTATGAACACACCCACTTGGTCGCGCGGCTACGATAACGCCCCTTTATTACTGACTGGCTACTCGGACTGCATCCTTCCGCGCAGCCTGGAGATAATCCCTACACACCACGCTGTTGACTGGCTGTTAGTCTTGTGCCCCCACCGTGATTGACACTGTGCTAAGTGGTGCCTCCCTCTACAGTTAAAATCCCGTCCCCTTTGCAATTGACAAGACGGTAGAAGCGGATCCCACCGCTTTGTGATTGATGATGTTAGGACCCCGCCCCTCCGTGATTATCAGGCGGCACGTGCCACGCCCACCCCATGATTGACATACAATTCCGACCCCGCCCCATCAGAAAAAAGTCTCATTGAAAAACAACAGCGTTACGATTCTAATCCCATCTTTCCAGCATTAACAGGTGCTCACTCGCGCCCCCTCCCCAGTGTTCGACAGGCACTCAGGACTAGACTAGCGCAGGCAGCCCCCATCCCCCTGAAATGGACAAGTGCAGGTATTTTCCCCGCAGCCCGGCGTGGACAGTTGCAAGCAACACCTTCCCCCGCCGTGACAACAAGGTGCAGAGCTGGATGAACACAGCAGGCTGAGCAGCATCATAGGAGCAGAAAGGCTGACGTTTCGGGCCTAGACCCTTCATCTCTCCGTGATGGACAGGTATAGGTAGTCCCCTTCCTAGTGATGGAGAGAGGCAGGTAGCCACTACACCCCATGATGGACAGCTGCAGGTATATCCCCTCCCAGAGATGGATAGATGCGAGTTGCCACCAACCCACCGTGATGGACTGGTGGAGAAAGCTCCCTGTGATGGACAATTGCAGGAACGACCCCCTCCCAGAGACAGGCAGATGCAGATATCCCCGCCTCTAGTCAGTGATTGGTAGGTACACGGGGAGTCCCGCCCCCCAGCAGTGATTGCTAGTCATTATAGCCACTCACCACCCTGACCGATCGGAGTTCCGCCTCCAGTCAGTCACAGACAGAGCCTTGCTCATGACCAATGATTGACGTGTAGTAAAAGTAGTTTTGTGAATGCTGGAGAATTGAAGTAACAGAAACTCAGCAGGTCTGGAAGCTTCTGTGAAGAGAAACGGCATAGCATGCAAGGCTACTCGCCAAGTGCTGGAAAATAGGATTAGAATAGGTAGATGTCCGATCACAGGCGTGGATACGAGGAGCCGCAGGGCCTGTTATAGTGCTGCAAAACTATGATTAACGTTTCGAATCTGACATAACTTCTTCGAATTGACAGACATCGAGATCCCGGTAAACGCCAAGCCTCTTGCCAGAGATTGACACGAGGCTGGAGCCCCTGACTGACAGGTTGTCAGTGGGCCGCACAAGGTTTGAAGCTTTCTGGTGCAGATTGCCACGCCTCTCCGCTGTGCTTTTTAAAATTGGCTTGAATAGTAAAGGCGAAGTATCAGTGTCTGTGCTGTTGACACGCCTGCAACCTTCTAGGAAATCAGATTGTGTGGCTCCTTTCGTTTCAAGTACTGTACTATAGCCAAGAACCAGAACGGCTTCAGTAACCAATGCCATCTGTACAAATCCTTTTAATCACAGTTCAAGGATTTGTTCTGTGTATGCAGGGAGATGGATCACTGAACCAACTTTCCAAATATATCCCATTAAAAATGCCTGTTGATCCGCCGTCTATAATGAAAGGATTGTGTTGATTTGATCTTTATTGAGCCTTGTAATTATTTCAGGTTGCTGCAACGTGCTTAAGTTGCGTATTTAAGCTGATCATAAACCCACATAACTACAGAAAGTGACCTCAACAACAATCCAACACCTCTAACCGGCTAAACGTTCAATTTTAAAAATGTCAACCTGTTGATCTAAGTTGTGCAATGTTTAAGTTACAGTTTCAGTTGCGAGTTTGTGAAAGCAGCCTTTTGTTTTTCTTCGATTAGCTTCATCTTTGGGCATTTCATTTTAGTTGATGTTCTGAAATATTTTGGATTCTGCCTGTATTTTGCTACTTGCCTGTTGAATTTTATTTGTGCAGAATAAGGACGAGTTGTGACCTGCACATTTTCTGGCCTTAGAGTTTAACTCTCGGTACACACTGCACGGGATTGAGTCTCAGCAATTTTGAGACAGATGGGTGATAGCACAGTGGAGGCCTCGAATGAGGGAATAAAACAAAAGAAAATGCCAGAAATACGTAGTAGACCAGACAGCATCTGAGGGAGATGAGGTTTCACCAGCATCTTTGTTTTCATTTCAAATTTCCAGAATTTGCAGTACATAGTTTGTCCGATTAAATGTCAGCAACAGTTTTAGACTTAAGACATCCAGTACATATACAGGAGGTACACAAAGCATACGTTTACATCTGTTTTTGGTAGTTTGCTTTTCAGGGAGAACGCCAATAGCCCAAGCCAGCGCCTATAGTTGGAGGGACTCTACTCCAAATCAAGTATTTCTGTCTAGGAGTTCTTCCGCTCTTATTGACATCGATCAACCAATGTAGAAAATTGCTTAGGGACAGTATGTACATAAGCAGCAAGACGAATCTAACCTGGTCAATGCTGCTCCATTAGTCTTCTCTCAATCACCAGAAAAGAAATGAAAGAGTTCATCAACAGTGCTATCAAGCAACACCTGCTTAGAAATAACCTGGTCAATGATTCTCAGGTTGGATTTCACCAGAGTAACTCAGCTCCTGGTCTCATTGAAGCCTTGGTTCAAACATGGACAAAAGAGATTATTGTCAGAGTTAAGGTGAGAATGACTGTCTTTGAAATCAAGGCCAGAGGATGGTAGAAGCATGTACTCACTCAACATTTAAGAAGCAACTAGACAAGCAGTGTACATGCCAGGGCATAGTAGGCTTTGGACCAAGTACAGGTAAATGGTATTTGTATAGTTTGGTGTTCATTGGTTGGCATAGACATGGTGGGCTGAAGGGCCTGCTTCTATGCTGTTGACTCTATGACTCTACTTTTAAGGAAAGAAAAAAGAGCCAATGCGAATCAGGGGGCTTCTCTCTGCTGGTTCATGTCATACCTAGCAGGTAGGCAGACGGTTGTGATTGTTGGAGGCCAGTGAATCAATTCCAGTGAGTAACTCACCTCTTAATACCTCAAAGCCAGCCTACCTTCTGCATGACACAACTCAGAATACAATGGAATAACCCACATTTGCCTGAATGAGTGCAATTCCAACAACCCTCAAGAAGCTTGGCATCTTTCCAGAACAAAGCAGCCCACACAATTAGCACCACATACACAAATATTCACTCCCTATGCCACAAATTCTCAGTGACAGTAATATGTACCACCTGCAGAAATTCATCAAGGCTCCTTAGATGGCAACTTCCAAACCCATATCCACACCATCTAAATGACAAGGGTAGCAAATACACAACACCACCAAATGCAAGTTCCCCTCCAAACCATTCACCATCCTTACTGTTCCTTCAGTTTTGCTGGATCAAAACTTTGGAACTCCCCCCTTAAAAGCACTGTGGGAGTTAATGCATGAAATTGTCTGCCATGATTCAAGAAGGCAAATCACCAACACCTCAGTGGCAATTAGGAATGGGTGATTAATATTAGTCCAACCAGTAATAGTTGCACCCTGTGAATGATGTCTTTTTTTTAAAAAAGAAAGAGTTTTGGCAACATTCAAGAACATGCCAAGTGTCATGCAGGCAGAATTGAAGTGATCAAGAGTAGCTTGTAAATTTAGTGTATAATGGTCAAACACCACAGCAATCACCCACTGACTGTTACATGATAGTTGTATGGTGCTCAATTTATTCTTAGTACAGAGGCAATTGAGGTTAAAAGGGTTTGCAATCTTGACAGTATTTCATGCTGACAAAAGAAGACAATTAATCTTTGATGAGGTGAATATCCATTACCAGGTAGTTGATTAATAGTATAGGCCTTGCTTCACCTTGTCTGGATTTTTGTGGTGTTTCTCTCAGATCTCCCACTCAAGACAGTTACAGCCGCATCATCATGGAAGATTGTGATGAAGATTCTTGGTTACTTTTGTAATACAATCCACAGACTCTTTAGATTTACTTAATCAAGTACTTTGATCAAGTTACTGAAAGCAAAACTTCTTTGTATTGCTCTTGACATGTTTCTTGGATTTGTCTGGCAACAAACACCATGTCAGAGATTCTTTGTAACCTTTAGTAACGCAGCACAATCTATGAATGGAAAGGCATTTTTATCTGATTATCATAGGTTCCATGTAGTATCCTTCTCTTTCTTTAAATGCACATTTCAGTGAAAGATTTTCTCAGGCAATATTGCCAAGGTGGTAGCAAGAACTGCAGATGCTGGAGTCAGAGATAACAGTGTGGAGGCGGAGGAACACAGCAGGCCAGGCAGCAGCAGAGGAGCAAGAAACATCAACTTTCCGGCTCCTCTGATGCCGCCTGGTCTGCTGTGTTCCTCCAGCTCCACACTGTTATCTCTATATTGCCAAGGTGTTTGCTTTTAAAAAGTTATTGAATGACGCGGAACCCCTTTAACAGGGATTATTTGATGTTTAGATTTGACTAACGGGTTGAACGAATTGGTGGCGGTTGTTTACCGTCAAAACTCATCTGAGGTGGGTTTACCGAGTTTACACCAATAAATTACCTATCGGGGAGAAGCGCAAAGTCATTTACAAATGATGGTTATGTGCAGGCCAACAACTGTAAACTAAGGAGAACCATCCGTTGCAACAACGTTAGGGATCGTTAAACATGTTTTCTTTTCCTGAATTCTGAAATGAAAATCCTTTTCGCAATTCACGGAAAGGACGGAGTTTACCCATAATCCAGATTTTACATGTTAGAGTGAAACAGTAAATGCGAAGACCATCTGGATTCCCCTTGGGGACATGTTTATTTAGTGATCGCCCTGAGATTCTTATAGCTACAAAATACGGAAACCCGTGTGGTAGCGAAAAGCCGACACTGTGCCACATCAACTCAAATTCAAGCCTTGTTTGTTTGATAATTATTTTACCGGATTGTGTACTCAATATTGTGCACTGCCTTAAACCTCGCG